AGGAGGCTATGTGTTTTCCTTGTGTTTTTGGGTTTTTTTTTTTTTTTTTTCTCTCTCCCTACTACAGTATCTGGTTAGAGGTTAGAGCTGCCCCCTCCCCCACCCCCCAAGCCTTCTTCTGGCTGCTTTATTGGGAGGCACTGAAATAACCCCCTGGCTGCCCTGGAACTTCCGTGGAGGCCGCATCCATCTTGGCCAGGGCTCTGCTCCATCCCCAGCTGGCGCTTTCCAGGCGGGATGGCCCTGGCACAGCCCGCACAGTGCTGGGATGGGATCAGCCAGGCAGGCAGTGGTGCCTCCCCCCGGACAGGCCCTGAGCTCCACACCTATTCCTGGGTGTCCAGACAAGGAGCACCCTGTTGGCAGCCGCGGATGTGGACGTGGCTACTTGTTTTAGCCAGGCACAAGCAGAGGCTGTGCTGGCCCAGGGCACCTTGTATCACATGGGCTGTGCAGCCCCCCACAGAGGAGGTGTCTGGGTAGATGAATCTGGTTATGGCTTAGGAGACAGCCCCTTTTCTCATCTCTCCAGGCAGCCATGGCCCAAAGGTCTCACCTGCAGCCTAGCAGCTGGAGGAGGGTCCATATTTTCCTATAGCAACCACAGGGTCATACAGACAGGTGCTACTTTGGATGCTTGGGCTTATTGCATTAACTGCTTTAGCACAGACTGAAGTTGTTCCTTCACAGATCACTCTGCTAGGAGCCACCTGTTTCTCTTATCTCTCACAATTTCTGCTGTAACCTGGAAACAATGAGAATTGAACTTGCTGATTCTTGCCTTATCTTTACAGCTCCCTGGCAATTGGAACCACAACTGGATACAGGCTTTTCTCTTTAAGCTCTGTGGAACAACTGGACCAGGTCCATGAAAGCATTAAGTCTCCCATTTTGCAGCACAGGAATATTGGCTGACGGCTCTTAGCTGCACTGTTGCACTTCTAATCTGCTTCAAGGGAGCAATTCAGCTCCCTGCTATTACACAGATGGCATCTACTTTTGTACCATAGCAGGAGAGAAACTGTGCTGGTTGTTGCACCAGGCACAAGGGCCTTTAATCCAAGCTACAGCCCTGGACAACCTTCGCAAACACCAGCAGTGTTTTAACAAATTTGGAGGAGTCCCGCAGAGGTAGAGCCCAGATCACTTCAGTCTGAACACAGCAGTCTGTCCTGCTCATACAGGGCTACTCTGCAGCGTTCAGAGCTAGTTCACTGCTGCCATGTTTTGGATACACGTACAGGAGACTTAAGGTCCTCACTGTTACACTGGATATCAGGCCAGCTTTGGGCTCAATGTAGTATTTACACTAAATAAGTTTTTGAACGAGTTTCCCATGTAAAAGGATTTTAGTTCTGCTCCAAGCAGCAGATAATGCACTTAGCCTGACAAGTCAGGCCTCACAGAGTTCAT